CTGAAAAACCTTTATGACACTCTTTTAAAAATAATTTAAACAAATTTTGTAATCATTTATATATATATATATATATATATATATATATATATATATATAGAGAGAGAGAGAGAGAGAGAGAGAGAGAGAATATTAGTATTTGTATGCTAACCTTCTATGACCTTGATAAATATTTTTTCTAGTAATAAAATTTTAGATCACTTAGAGTTTTCACATAAATCATCAGGTTGTCTTTGAATAAAGAGCTTTAATTTTTCTCTTTCCATTTACTTGCTTTTGTGGGGCGGGGGCGGGTTACATGGCACTGGCTAGGACCTCTAGTTCAAAGCTGGATAAAAGTTGTGAGAGGTGACATCCTAGCTTTGTTCCTTATCTTAGGGAGAAATTTCAATGTCTCCAATAACTATGATGTTCATAGATGCTCTTTATCAGATTGTGAACTCCCCTTCTATCTTCATGTTGCTAAGAGTTTTTACCATGAATCAATGTTGCTTTTTGTAAAATGTATTTTCTGATGATATAAAAATAATTGTATGCTTTTTTTTTAATGTCACATCTGTTAATGTATGAACAAGTAAAGTTCTATTTGTGGAAGACATAATCATTTATATACACGTTCATAAAGAATACACTAAAAACTATTAGAATATATATATATATGTGTGTGTGTATATATATGTATATATATATTGCAGTTACTGGCTGAGCTATTTTAGTGAAGTCTATTACCTTCTAATAGGAAGCTTCTGATGTTGCTGTTTAGAAAGCGCAGGCTTGGGCACAAGGACACTGTCATTTTCAGGTTACATCAATACCTGGGATATACATAGTCACCTAGGATGTACACCATCACTTGCAAGGCATCACTTGGGTGTGCACACAGTTGCCTGAGATACACATGATCTCTGGACATTTATATAGTCACTTGAGATGTACACAGTCATCTTGAGATGACATGTTGTACCTAAGGTTAAATCTCTTCCTGCAAGTGGAGTCTTGGTGCAAGAAAGTGTTGCTGATCTATCATCTGCTATCATCTGGAATTCAGCCCCTGAGACATATATTTGGAAAGGATAAAAAATTCTGGCAGCATTCCCTCCCTGGGAAGATACTGCAGTCTCAAACTGGGACCTCAAGGAGCAAGACACTCATCCACCTGGACGGAGTCTCCACCACACTTAGCTGTAAGGAGTGAGGAAGGGGTTGGTTGTGGTTTGAACACCACATACCTCACTGCTCTACGGAGTTTTAGTAAATTTTCTTGAACGGTTTTATTTGCTGCATGCCCTTAGAACATTTTCCCAAGACTTTTAATGCTTTGGTTTCTCTAGTAATTTTTATCTGTTATCTTTGTGTTATGGTTTAGATATGTGGTGTCCCCAAAAGCTCATGTGTGAGACAATGCAAGAAAATTCAGAGGGTAAAGATTCGGTTAGGAGTATTTTAACAAATCAGTGCATTAATCCCCTAATAGGGATTAAGTGGGTGCTAATTTTAGGCAGGTAGGGTGTGGCTGCAGGAGGTAGGTCACTGAGGGCTTGCCTTTGGGGCTTATATTTTGTCATGACAGGGAGACACCCCTCCCTTTCTCTCTGCTTCTTGGTGCCATGTTCCCAGTTGCTTTCCTCCATGGTCATGATGTTCTGCTTCACTTTGGAGCCCAAGGAATGGAGTTGGCTGTCTACGGACTGAGATATCTGAAACTGTGAGCCCATATAAACTTTTTCTCATTAAAATTGCTCTTGTCAGGTCTTTTGATCACAGAACAAAAAAAAAAAAAAAAAAAGAAAAAGAAAAGAAAAAAGAAAGGAAAAAAGAAAAAGAAAATCTGAGTAAAACACAGAGTTGGTCACAATACCTTTATTTTATTTATCTATTCTTTGAGGAGTGAGTCCACACAGTTCCCCATGCTATCAGCCTGCAACTAGAACTCCCACAACCTATTCTTAATCCCACCTAGTAGTGCCTTTTTAATTTTTAGATACTATACTATCCTATTCTAGAATTTCCATTTAATTTTGATTTATATTACTCCAGTGACATTTACTTTGTCATCTCATTATGTGATACTTAATTTTTGAACATGTTTAAGAGTTTTAATGTTCTGTCTGCTAATTACAACACTGGTCATTTTAGGGTCTGTTTCTATAGGCAGTTTTGCTCTCTTGATTGTCAGGCTCATTTTTCTGGCTTATATTTACATACTTATTTTTCCCTGCATGCTGAACACTGTGAATGTTATCTTATACAGTGTTTAGAATAGTTGTCTACCTTGAAAAAGTGCTAAGGTTTTTTTTTTGTCAGTAATTAAATCACTGGAACATCCTCTTGATCTTATCTGACTTGGTTTCTGCTGTCTTAAAGGAGACCTATATTTGCTTTGTCCTTTTCCCTTGAGCTTCCTTCTTTCTCTAAAGGCATGCTCCTGGTTCCCAAAGTCTCATCTTTTCTGGGTCCACACTAAATGCCTAAGTTGCTCAGTTATGTCTTTTTACTCTGGCTGGACTGAAATCTCTACACCTTTGATCACTATATGATCTCTGTGCAATTTTCAGTCCAAGAATTCAAGAGCAACCTCTGTGCAGACTCCAGGGCTCTCTCTGTACACCACCTCTTTTCAAATATTCCAACACAAAAGATTTCACCTGACTCAAAGGCCCAGGATTCTTCCCTTCTCTCATCATTTTTTTTAATATTTATTTTTTAGTTGTAGTTGGTCACAATACCTTTATTTTATTTACTAACTTTTATGTGGTGCTGAGGATTGAACCCAGGGCCTCCTCGCACATGCTAGGCATGCACCCTACCACTGCCATAATCCCAGCCCTCCTCATCTTTTTTTTCTTTGCATGTGCCCATCTTTCCTGTAACATGGTGTGAAAGGTCCTGCAGCCAGAACTCTGAAGCAAATGGAGGATTCGCTGGGCATACATCTCGTTTCTCAAGTATCACTGTACTTCGATTTCAGTTTTCCAATGTCAGAAAATAGTTTTAAATATATTTTGATCAGTGTTATAGTTGCTTATGTGGGAGGGTGCTGGCTGATGATTGGCTCACAGCGGCCCCAGCAACATCTAGCTGATTGGCTCCTTGGCCCCAGCAACATCTAGCTGATTGGCTCCTCTGCGGTGATGCTCATTGGGCTGTTTCCCTGCCCTTTCAGACCACGGAGCTGCTCATTGGGGGACTTTTTTGACTCCGCCCACGTGACCCAGCCAATCGGCCTCAAGAGCAGGAGGATTGTGGGAGGTGGAGAGAAGCTTGAGTGGGAGAGAGAGGCTTGTGGAAAGCCGGTGGTGGCAGTTGAGGCTCTGAGGGTTTTTCCTGAGAGGCTGTTTTGTTTGGCGTGTGTGGTTCTAAAAATAAAGTTAGTTTCTTTTGACAAGTGGCTCCTGATTGTGCCCAGCCAGACTGCGGCATTTGGTGGCCCGTACGGGGATTGAACCCGGGGCCTCGTGCATGCTAAGCACGCACTCTACCACTGAGCTACACCCCCGCTCCTGTTGTAACTTTCCCCCTGATGGCTTTTTCTGTTTTACACTTTCTTTCTCTGTCTGACTAGCTTGAGAGGCCTTCTCTTTTACTTGAATCTTTTCCTCTGTCTGACTAACTTGAGAGACCTTCTCTTTTACTTGAATCATTATGTCTTCTCCTTCCTCTACCATTGTCTGAACTGAAGGCTTTGGACTAAGCAAACAAGATACGAATGTCCACAATGGCAATGTGCCAACTGGCAGAGTCCCTGGGCTTTTCTTTTCTATTCTTTTTAAATCTTCACCATGATGGTTCCATTGTGATATATTTAACAACTCCTCCTTAAAAAGCCATGGGCTACATTTTTGTATTGTATCAACGTATGCCCTGACTGCTCTTGATTTTACTGGGATGCCTCCTTCCTCTAACAATTTACTTAACACTCTTTCAGTTTGTTTTTTACTAATTTCTGATCCCATATTTCTACTATAATACAACCCAACAAGATGACGCCAAACAAAACCGAGACAGAATGAAATAAAAAGGGAACAACAAAAAGTCATTATAGCCTTTCTATCCTCCTGACATGTGCATCCGTCCTTTCTCCCTATCTGTTCCTCAGACGTAAATAGTTTTTCGTCAGATGTGAGCGGTTTTTCTTCCGTCTCACTCATCTCCAGGGACAGGCAACTTAAAACAAAAGTGAAGCAAAATAAAAGAGGAATCTTAAAATGGCTAACCATCCTCGCACGGGGAGCGACTGAGGGTAAGTGAAACTGCTCGCCCCTGAGGGCAGGGCGAGAGGATGGGTAGCCATTTTAAGATTCCTCTTTTATTTTGCTTCACTTTTGTTTTAAGTTGCCTGTCCCTGAAGATGAGTGAGACGGAAGAAAAACCGCTCACATCTGACGAAAAACTATTTACGTCTGAGGAACAGATAGGGAGAAAGGACGGATGCCCATGTCAGGAGGATAGAAAGGCTATAATGACTTTTTGTTGTTCCCTTTTTATTTCATTCTGTCTCGGTTTTGTTTGGCGTCATCTTGTTGGGTTGTATTATAGTAGAAATATGGGATCAGAAATTAGTAAAAAACAAACTGAAAGAGTGTTAAGTAAATTGTTAGAGGAAGGAGGCATCCCAGTAAAATCAAGAGCAGTCAGGGCATACGTTGATACAATACAAAAATGTAGCCCATGGCTTTTTAAGGAGGAGTTGTTAAATATATCACAATGGAACCATCATGGTGAAGATTTAAAAAGAATAGAAAAGAAAAGCCCAGGGACTCTGCCAGTTGGCACATTGCCATTGTGGACATTCGTATCTTGTTTGCTTAGTCCAAAGCCTTCAGTTCAGACAATGGTAGAGGAAGGAGAAGACATAATGATTCAAGTAAAAGAGAAGGTCTCTCAAGTTAGTCAGACAGAGGAAAAGATTCAAGTAAAAGAGAAGGCCTCTCAAGCTAGTCAGACAGAGAAAGAAAGTGTAAAACAGAAAAAGCCATCAGGGGGAAAGTTACAACAGGAGCGGGGGTGTAGCTCAGTGGTAGAGTGCGTGCTTAGCATGCACGAGGCCCCGGGTTCAATCCCCGTACGGGCCACCAAATGCCGCAGTCTGGCTGGGCACAATCAGGAGCCACTTGTCAAAAGAAACTAACTTTATTTTTAGAACCACACACGCCAAACAAAACAGCCTCTCAGGAAAAACCCTCAGAGCCTCAACTGCCACCACCGGCTTTCCACAAGCCTCTCTCTCCCACTCAAGCTTCTCTCCACCTCCCACAATCCTCCTGCTCTTGAGGCCGATTGGCTGGGTCACGTGGGCGGAGTCAAAAAAGTCCCCCAATGAGCAGCTCCGTGGTCTGAAAGGGCAGGGAAACAGCCCAATGAGCATCACCGCAGAGGAGCCAATCAGCTAGATGTTGCTGGGGCCAAGGAGCCAATCAGCTAGATGTTGCTGGGGCCGCTGTGAGCCAATCATCAGCCAGCAGCTGGAAGTTTGCTGGCAGCTGGAAGTTTGCTGGGGCCCCTTTGGCTGTGGCTCTCAACAGGAGGGTAAATCTGATAACGCTTTTTTTCTTCATAATCAGAAGCAAGAATTCTTGCCTCCTCTCACTGCCTGTTTTTTTAAAGATATCATAAAACTTACTTATGAATTATTTAATATTCACATATCAAGTTTATATCTGTCTTTTATCTAACTTGAATCTCAAACATTTGTACTCTTATTCTCAATTAGCTATCACTGATAATGTCCTACCCAGGAATCAGAAAATTACCAGGTACCATGCTGGTAAATCCCCATAGATGGCTAGATGGCGCTGTTGAGTCTCCGACTCTTCTCATGATTCTGGGTAAACCAAGAACTAGGCGGAGCCCGGCTCACCTTTGTGTAGAGAGATCTGGGAGTGACATATGTTTCTGAAAATTTTAAAGAATGTAACTTTAATTCAGGAAGAAGCTGGGAGCTTGAGGATAAAGAAACAGTAAAATGATCCAAATTGGTTCTACAGCTGAAGTTGGACCATTAGACTAGGAAAAATGCTCAAGTGTAAGACAGTAAATTTAATACAGCATAAACAAAGAAGAGCCAAAATGTTTAGTTAGCATAGAATTGTTACAGTGGGGTAAGCTTTATTTATTATTTCAGTTGACAAAGTGTATTGGAATTGAGACTCTGCAGACATGCTAAATGTTGGGAAGATGTTATTAGTAATATAACTTATGTGAATTGACTTTAAAAAATCCTTTCGCTTGTATATATGTTAAACATATCGCTGAGAAAATGTCAAATCAATGTAATCACACTTTGTGTTTAGAAAACATTTCAGCGTAGGGGTAAGATTGCCCTATATAGACACTTGATTTCAAATGGAAATGTTGATATTGCCAAAATTAATGTACCTTTTTAAAGGATTATATTATCTGTGGTATCTCTGCAAGGACATAGAATAGTTAAAATTTCCTTCTCTTCCTGTGAAAGAAACTAGCAATTTTACTATCAGTTTTTATGTTAGGCCCTAGATTTCTCATATCAAAGGAGAAATAGTTTTGTCAGGAGCCACTATGACCTACTGGAGCTCTACCTTGAGATGTTACATTTCAGCTGGGTTATAAATACACCAGGCGCTAATACCCTTGCTCATGTCAGTTGGGTAGACTTATAGGTCGTGAAAACACTACCCTAGCACATGTAATTTCAGAACTCTAACACCCCTACTCTAACCTCTGATGTCTAAAGCATAGAACATTCTCACTGTGACCACACTGTGCTATAATCACACGCTGGAAAATCCATCCGTAGTATGACTGATCAAGTCCTTCAGGCTGCTCACATAATAAGTCTGATGTTTGAGGCTGTTATTTTTTAGGCTGCCAAAGCAACATCTCTGTATTAAAGTTATGGGTGGACCATACTGTCTTAGTTTCCTGAAAAAACACTGCATAACAAAACTCAACTCAAAGTGAATCAAGGACCTGGGTGTTAGACTAGAGACTCTGTGTCTACTAGAAGAAAAAGCATGCCCAAATCTCCATCATGTCAGCTTAGGAACTGAATTACTAAACAAGAATCCTAAAGCTCAAGAATCAATAAATGGGATGGTATTAAACTAAAAATCTTCTTCATGGCAAAGGAAATGATCAAGAACATAAAGAGAGAGCCTGTGGAATGGGATAAAATATTTCTCACCTGCACCTCAGATAGAGCATTAATCTCCAAAATATATAAAAAATTCAAAAAAACTTAACACCAATAAATAAATAAATAACCCAATAAATAAATGGGCAAAAGAAGTGAACGAACAGATATTTTACAGAAGAAGAAATATGGTCAACAGATATATATATTTAAAAAAAGTTCAATATCACTAGCAATTAGAGAAATGCAAATTAAAACTACTCTGAGATTTTATCTCACTCCAATCAGAATGGCAGTTTTCAAGAACATGAGTAACAATAAATGTCAGTGAGGATGTGGGACAAAAAACACAGTTTTACATTGCTGGTGGGACGGCAAATTGGTGTAAACACTCTGGAAAGCAGTATGGAGATTTCTCAAGGAACTTAGAATGAAACCACAATTTGACCCAGTTATCCCACTCCTTGGTCTGTACCCAAAAGACTTAAAATCAACATACCATAGTGAAGTTGCCCCTTCAATGTTTGTAGCAGCTTAATTCGCAATAGCTAAGCTGTGGAACCAACTTAGGTGTCCTTCAACAGAAGAATGGATAAGGAAAATGTGGTACTTATACACAATGGGACATTAGTCAGTCATAAAGAAGAATGAAATGATGGCATTTGCTGGTAAATAGATGGAGTTGAAGAATAGCATGCTAAGTGAAATAAGCCAATCCCCCAAACCTAAATGTCAAAAGTTCTCTCTGATATGGGAATGCTGACTCACAATAGGCGGGGTGCAGGGAGGAGTAGAGGTTCACTGGATTGAACAGCAGTTGATGGGGGCGGGGAAGAAAGAGGATGGGAATGGGAAAGACAGTAGAATGAATCAGATATAACTTTCCTATGTTCATATATGAATTTATGACTAGTATAACTCCACATCATGTAGGACCACAAAAATGGAAAGTTGCATCTGTGTATGTATGATATGTCAAAATACATTCTACTGGCATGTACAACTAAAAAGAACAAATAAAAATATTTTGAAATATTGCATAAAAAGCATAATATTTGATTTTTGTGTTTCCACATAGTTTCCAAATATTTAAAGTTACTATTTAATATATCCTTCATTATCTCTTAAAAAGGAATCCATCTTTTCTTTAGTTTCTAAGGAAATGTGGATCTCTTCAAAATGTTTGAGTTTCTTTCCTGTGTCAGGCAACAAACAAAGGTAATCCCATTGGTTTTATTGCCTTATTTGTTTGTTTTACCATTTGTATCAAACACGAGTTATATAGCTCATCTCAGAAGGATACATTGTAGGAAGAGCAGCTCATATAGACTCAAAGAACCTGGGTACAAGTCTGATTATGCTACTCCCAACCTGAGATTTTGAATAAACCATTTGTTCCTCTGAACCTTGAGTTTTCATCAGTCATATGTGGATCATTATGTGGATTCTATCGGATTATTGGAAATTTCAAATGATCCACTTGTATGAAAGATACTAAATGGAAATAAATGGGCTGTTTTACATTAAAAGCCATGCAATCCACATTGTACAATGTAAACTATAAAAAGGTTGAGGGCTATTTCTCATTGCTTCCTCTGGCCTAGGTACCATTTCTGTTCATCCAAAAGAACTACAGAACTTCAGACTTGGAGGAGAGCTTATAGTCATCCATCTCCATGGCCCAATAGAGTTTCCAAAATCAAAATCTGTGATAAGTGATGTGAAAGGGGACTTTTTCAGCACCTTAAATAATCCCATTTTGTCCAAATACTTGCCAATATATTATTATTGCTTGCTTCCTTCCTTCCTTCCTTCCTTCCTTCCTTCCTTTCCTTCTTGCTTGCTTTCTGGTACTGGTGATTGAACCCAGGGGCACTTAGCTGCTGAGCCACATCCCCAACCCTTTGTTCATATATTTTAAATTTAGAGACAGGGTCTCACTAAGTTGCTTAGAGCCTTGCTAAGTTGCTGAGGCTGGCTTTGAACTTGTGATCCTCCTGCTCAGCCTCTGGAGTCCGTGGTATTACAGGCATGGGCCACTGTACCCAGCATCATTCATTTCTTCTACCCTGTTCCCTTTAAGAACTTGCAGTTTCTCTAACAATCATAAAACTCACTAAGGGTATATCTGGATTCAAGTGCTACCTGGCATTGGTGGTAGCTATAAAACCCACCATTTAAGTAGTGTAATTTCTTACGGAAATGAAACATTTCAGAGGCACTGATTACTTCCTGCACAATTGATGCTTTTGTAAGATTTGCATTGCTGTGACTAAGACTTTCCAATAACAATTCATGAAGGAAAAGCTTATTTTGGCTCAGTATTTCAGAGGTTCAGTTCATGATAGGGAGAGTCCACAGCTCTGGGCCCAACATGAGGCAGAACATCATGGTGGAAGGATGTGGCAGAGGATATCAGCTCAGGATATGACAGTCAGAAAGCAGAGAGAGAGAGAGAGAGAGAGAGAGAGAGAGAGAGAGAGAGAGCGCTCCACTCACCAGGGACAAAATAGACACCCCAACCCCCTCATCTCCTCTGTGACCTACCTCCTCCGTCCACACTCTACTTACCTACTGTTAATACTCAGTTAATCCATATTTGTGGATTAATCCAACAATTCGGTTACAGTTCTTATAACCTCATCATTTCACCTCTGAACATTCTTGCATTGTCTCACACATGAGCTTTGGGGAGACACTTCATATCTAAACAATAACAGCTATGTCAACATAAACATCACTCCTTTAGTGGCTATTTCATATGACAACACTATTAAAGTGTTTCCTTGATTTAATGTTAACTTTGTATGAAATGAAAATTACATGTGGGGAAGAGACTTTGTCTTCCTTCTTCACTCATATGTCCCCAGTGGCTAGTACAGTGTCTGGTACTCTGTAGGTGCTTTTTAAGGATTTGTAGAATTTGCAAAATTACAATGTCCCCCTTGCCTCCCAAAACCAAAT